TTGAGAAAACTCAATAGTTGAGCCTGTACTAAATAACTCTTTCCCGTAATTCTACAGCTCTACCCCAAGTTTTTCACATCTAATAAGCCTTCGTCTCTCTCTCTCTCCCTCTTCCCATAGACACGCTTTGCACGGCAGGAGAGTCTGCTGCATACGATGCAGCAGGAGAATCGAGCGTTGCTCACACGAATACGACAGTACGAGCACTGCCTGGACGATGTGATGCGCAAGGTGGTGGACGCCATTGTGGCCGAGGATAATCTGAGGGAGGAGGTGAGCATGCTGAAGAGTCGCGTGCGCGATCTGGAGGCGCAGAATGCAGCGCTGTCGGCGAGTCCGGTCAAGGGGCGTGACGAGGGCTACTGCACGATGAGCAGCGGACAGCCGCAGCCGTCGAACGGGCATTTGGAAGGACTGCCCGAGGAGCCGGAGCAGTGGCTGCTGCCAGCCGAGCCCTGCTCAACCGAAATGGAAGACTGGAGCATGTCGCAGGAGGAGCTGGCTGTGATAACCTTCGACGATGAGCGCGATCGGCAACAGCTGCAGCTGCAACGGCGCAAACGGGAGCACGACTGGCTCTGGCCCTCGAGCGACTTCATCAATTCGACGACCGTGGAGACGGACGACTCTGTCGCCGATGGCATTGCCCAGCTGCTGCAGCAGAAGGTCAGTTGAGTCTTGAGTCCACTGTCAACTTAATCTTTAACTTATTCTCCGCCCACTGCAGCTTGTCTACTCGGAGGATGAGGAGGTTGCCTGCACGGACTTTACCAACGACTTCTATAAGCTCGTCAACATACGGCCCAACTCCTCGCGCAGCCTCTTCTCATATCTGGAAGGCGAGACTGATGATGAGGACGACGAGGATGAGGAGGACGAGCAGGACTCCAGCATGTCGGAGAGCCAGATTAAGCAGCGTGTCAGTCCGACGCCCAGCGAGGCGGGACGTGCCCAGCTGACCAGCTGCTCCTCCAGCGAAACCGATGAGCACTCTGTGGCACCTCCACCGCCGCTACAACCGGAAGCGGAGGCGGCGCATGCGGAGGAGGAGGAAGAGGAGCATGACTACGCTGTAATTGAGGAATGCCGAAGACGTGTGAGCGACATCGAGATCGAGGATGTGCCCCTGGTGAAGAACTCGTCTCCTGCTCTCAACGAACAGCAGTGCATTGCACAAATCATCAAGACAGAGCTGAGGCGTCCACCCCACGTGCTGGTCAAGTCCAAGTCGGTGCTGGAGGAGCAGGAGCCCAGCTGCATATTGCGTCACAATCAGCGCCGTGAGCTCGAGTCCAGCGTGGTGCGCAGTGACAGCATCAGCTGCGCGATGATGGCCAAAATGGCCAAGGAGACGCCCCCATCGCCAGCAATGGTATCCAAGCTAAAGGAGCGACTGCTGCAGCGCCACGCGCCGAATCCAACTGGCAACTCCTGGCGGCGCAGCAATGGCTGGAAGCGTGTCACCTCGCCCGTTGCCGGATCAGCCAAAAAGGTAAGTGCTTCATTGCCCCAATCATGGGATATGAGTTCATGTAGTGAAATCTTTACAGGAAGCAACAAAGACAACCACGGAGCTGCCAAAGAGTTGCCAGCAAAAGGCGCCGCCCACACGTATACCCACATGCATACACACATCAACCACATCATCCACAAGCTCATCCTGCTCCTCGTCAACGCCTTCGTCGCCCTCGCCGCCAAAGCAGACGCAGAAGCTGACGCAGCAGCAGCAGCAACAGAAGCAGCAGGCGAAGCAAACACCGCAGCAGCCATCGCAGCAGCGCAAATCCAAAATTCCTCCACCTGTACCCGTGCGTCGTTCCTATGCCAGCTAAGAGACGCCCCCATCCCCCCTCTAAGCATAATCTCAAACAGAATTCTATAAATTGATAACGACAGAGCGAAGAGCCATCGCGCATTCGCCGTAGATTTAAAGATTTAAAAGACTAAATTGTGATATATATTCAAACTAAAAACGAGAGAAGAGAGCAGAAGCAGCAGGAGAGGGCGTGCATGCACGAATACAACATATTTATATTATATATACACACACCTATATATACATATATAYATTTAAGAGTCTTTTGGATAATGTTTACTACAATCGATACAAGGCTCGACGTGCTCTATACAGTTTTGTAGAGCAGCGATCGCAGCTACAAGTTCCCAAATCGCATTTCCAAACTGATCGAAAGAGGATGAGCTCTTCAGTATATATATAAWGTTTATAAGCTGTATAATCTGTATACAATATATATATATATTTATATTTGCATAATTTCTATTGGACTAGCCAAAGCTTTGCTCAGCATCTGAGCAAAGTGTCAACAAAAACTAATAAAACTATTAACTATCAGTAAACAGAACTATAAATATATAATAACAAATAGAATATATATATTTAAAAATGTAGTCTTCCGCACAAAATCGAGTGTACTATATATATAGATTTGTAGAACAGTTATGAAACAGTCGCTAAAAATTTGGGTGAAAAACAGAAATCAACAAAAAGGCATATACAGTACATAAACATATATATAAAGATACAGATACAGTAGATAGATATATACCGTGTATGGTATATATGGTTTCCGAGCGATTACAATAAAGTGTATATAGATACATAATATATATAGGCATACAGCTCTTCTTCTACTCTCTAGTTAGTCTCTTTAAGTAGCAACCGAACTCTGGTTCGGTCCTTGCAATCACATCCTACATAAGTACGAGTTATATATATATATAGTATAGAGCATATACAACCTATAGCAAACGCACTACGCTCGACGGAAAACAAAATTGAGAAGTTCTAAATTTAAGCTCGTATAAAACATTATAAATGTATTTTCTTAGCGTAGCAAGTACAAAATGTAAACAATAAACAAAAAAAGTTACGAAATATAAATTATTAAACCAATGCGAAAATGAGTTTCAATTGCATAAAAGACACTGAACTATACATAAGAATAAAATAAAATAATTAAAAATATATTTTAGCTAAATAAGAGTTAAGCATAAAAGAAATATTACAAGAAAACATACAGATTATAAATAACTTAATTATAAGCTAAAATTCTCGCAGACTTTTAAATATTAGGTTGATACACACTTGTTTAGGATCAGCTCCAGACGTTTTTGTAGCTGGAGAGCGTTTAGACGCAACTCGGGTTGGCTCAACCAACAGCTTCTGTATAGCTCGCTATAAGCGCCCTCCAGACACTTGGACACCTGATCGCATGATGGCTCGTCGAAATAGTGCGCTAGTCGTGGCTGCTTGCGCTGCTTGTGTCGCTTGAGGACTCGGCCGTGGTTGGCCTCAAAATTCAGATTGCGACGCACCTTTTTGTAGACATCCGTGGAGAGTAGCACATCCACTTGGGGCCTCATCCGACCTATATAGCTGCAGACGAGCTCCACGGAGCTGTCTGGCCAATCCGTTGCACAGTAACAGCCATTCAAGGGCAACGGCTCGTTGCCCATCTTAAGTGACTCCAGCAGCGCGTAGTTATCGGGTCGCAGATCATGCTTCACCACCTGATACGCAATGGATTCATTGCAGTTGAGCGTATGGAAGGGCAAGCGACGCGACTGCAACTGCCACATGGTAATGCCCAAGGAGTAAATATCCGAGGCACTGCTCAGGGGCAACGAACGCAACGCTTCCGGCGACATATAGCGCAATGTGCCCTTGACACTGCTCTGCTCATCGCCCAAGCGAATGGAACTGCCAAAGTCACAGAGCTTGCAGATGTAGCGACGCTTGGACTGCTCCAATCGACCAAATCCTGTCTGCTTGGTGCCCAGGGCAACCAACACATTTGGAGGCTTCACATCCAGATGCAGCACCTGCTGGCAATGACAGTATCGCAGCGCAGCGAGAACATCAAGGGTTATGCTGCAAGAATACAAATTGCTATAAGATCTACATGGATGATCCATCACAGCTTACAACACTCTGTGCAGCAGCGGCAGCGCAAGCGTATCTAGCACACGCTGCAGACACAGCCCACTGGGTCGCTCCATGATGAGCAAACCAAACTCGGGCGTCGATTCCAGCTTAATTAAACGCACAATATTTTTGTGCTTCCAGTTCAAAATGTGCGCCTCATTTTGCAAAGTGGATACGGCGCCGGCTTTAATGATTTTTAAGGCAACAGCATGCTCTGGCGGTATAGTACAATTCAAATGACAGAGAACTTAGTAGAATTCTGGTAAATACCTCTATATATAGCCTTGAACACCGTACCATAGGCTCCGCGGCCCAAAATTTGACACCTGTTGGACCTTGCTGTAGCTGGCGGACCGTCTTTGAGCAGCTCAATGCGCTTTGGAGTGGTTAGCACCAGTGCGTTCTCTCTCTTTAAAAAGGACCTAACAATTAGGGTTTTAATAGGTTTTTTATTTATTTGCAATAAAATTATGCTTACATTTTTATAAGACGTTTAACGGTGCATTTAGCAGCTGATGAGTATTTAATAGCGTTGCCAGCTTGATAAAATAATAAATTGAAATTACTGCTTCGCTTTAAAATTTTAGACGAGCTATCTTGTTTTTTTTTATTACCCAACTTTAAAAAATAAAATCTGTTTTTGTTATAGTGAATTAAGTAATATATTTGACGTAGCCAACTTTGGAAGTAAATACTAAACAATTACTTTGCTCTTTAAATTTAGGCAATTTTTTAATAGAAACTATTTTACTTAGAGTAAACATTCACAATAGTGCTGTTAGTCGGTGCATTTATTGGCGTTGCCATCATATTTAGATACTAAACAAACCAGAAAATGCAGCGCCATTTAACGTGCTGGCTATATTTTAGACTACTTTTTAATACACTCTTTTACTTAAAGTAAACGTTCACACAATAGTATTTGTTGTTCTGATTGCTTAATTTGTTAATTTCGCACACTGGCAGCATAAGCCTCAGTAATTACATTAAATATATGTAGAATATTCTAGGGAGGCTTCATTTTTGGCTTAATACTATTCAAATAAATAATAAGCTTTCATTGAGTTTTCTTTGCTACAGCATGACTATCCCGAGCTAAGCGCGCTCTCCATGTAATCTCTCCGTTTCGTTACGCAGATCCTGCAATGGAAATATACATTCAATAAACGAATTAATTGTGAATGGGTGCTAAAAACAAATACCCTAAAGGCGTCTTGTATTTTGTCCGTGATGAGTTTGCGGGCCACCGGCTCCGGGACTCGCGTATCCTTGAGTCCCTGCACGAAGTCATTCAAGTCGAGCGGCTCACCAATGTTGACGGTGACCTTCTTTCCCCACTGCAGCTTGTAAGGCTCCACGTTGGGCAACACGCTGTCCATGCCCTCGTGCCACATGGGCACAATGATGGGTATGCGCGGCGACTCATAGATAATGCGCCCGACACCCCATTTGAGACGCATCTCCTCCTTGGTCATGTTCACCTTGCCCTCGGGAAAGACGTGCACCCATTGCCCCAAAGCGCACTTTTCGATGCACAGATTAATGGCTTCCTGGTAAACGCCATTGCCACGCACCACAGGTATGCATTTACCTATAATAATTATGCAATTATAGTACCTTATATATATCCACTTACAGACTTCACTCACCGTACATAAAGAACATGGCATGAATCTTTTTGGTGAAGCAAATATCGTGCGCCGCCATTGACCAGCGAATGCGAAACGTGTTGCAGACATAGCGCATGGGCAGCATGCCCCAAATACCGGGATCATCAAAGCAGGAGTAGTGATTGGACACCGTTACCAAGGGTATGCCCTTTGGCCGCTTGGCCACTGCCTTCATCAGACGCTCCTTGTTGTACACTTGAGTTTTGTTCATGAGAACTGTGTGGGAAGAGGGAGAGAGAGAGAGCATTATATATATATATTTAGGGTATATAAGCAGTTATAGGTATAGCCTAATATGTTATAGTTAAATCAAAAAAATATATAATATAAAAAAATTATATAGCTAAATTATGTTTGAGTCAAGCCTAATCTCGGAAATTGTTTGAAAAGCTTAAGGTGGAGCATGCTTCAACACTTAGCTAATTGCAGTGAAGGAACTAGTCGAGCACGCCCTATAAGTCGTAATCTATATAATTCTTGCCTAGTCAAGCGTGCACTATTAGACAAGAGCTATATCGTAGCTGCAGCAGCATATTTTAATTAATATGCAAACAGGAAGCATAAATGGAGGCAAGCTCTTGGCCGTGATGGCCCAAAACGAAACGAAAACAAAATCAAGCAAATATAAATAGATAATACGGTATATATAGAGCATATCATATATAAGATATTTAGCTGTTTAAGAGATGGTGTAGAGAGGCATAGAAAGAGAAACACAGAAAATATTGTAATGCAGAAATGCAAGTAAAAACGAAATTTGTTTTCAGTCAACAAAAGATTTTCTTACAGGATGCAAAATGAATATCAAGTGAATATATCAAGCTATTCATATATACAAACTCTATATATGTAGACACATTCCCACTCACTCAGAACAAATTTGCTGATGATGCCAACGATGGTGACCACCAATTGGCTGGTGATGAGCCAGAGTCTGGATGGATTGCGCAGCCGGGGAAATATCCAATCGATGGGATATGGTATCTCGACGCCGGATGACATATTCGCCATATTCGGGGGCTCCCGGTCCGGCGTACGACCGTCCTGTGGCTTGAGCTCCCTCTCCGCCGTCTGCCTAATGCTGTCAGTCGATAAAGTTACCTGCAGTGTGCTTGTCTGCTGTGTGGAGTTCTTTTGCTGTGCCTCTGGCTGCGTCTGTGTCTGCTGCTGCTGTTGTTGCTTCTTCTGTTCCTCCTCCTGCTGCTGCTGCTGCTCCGGCTCTTTGTGCGGCGGCTGCTGCTGCTGCAGTCCCGGCAATGATCTATCATCGGGCAAGGGGCGCGCCTCGGGGGCCTGCACAAACGGCTGCGAATTGATGGTAACATTGTTTAACATGGCGATCTAGCTATGAAACTAACTAGCAGCCATGAGGCAGGTGTGTCTCAGTCTCATTCTACAAAAATGTACTTTATGTTGGGGCAAAGACTACTTCTCTCTCAGCTCCATTTTCAGTTTCAAGATACGTAAAAAATTATATACGTTTCTGTTCAGTGACAATCCGGGTTGAGTCTGTCAGACTAAAACACTGTACTATAAACTAAAGAAGCTGCAGCAAAAGACAGATAGAGTGAGAGAGCAAGCGAGAGAGAGAGAGAGAGAGAGAGAGAGAGAAATAGAGTGCGACAAAAACAAAGAAACGTAATTTACGCAGCCTATAGCGAAACAAAGTACAGTAGAGGCTCGCTCAGCGCACAGCTGCAACGGTTAGCGTTGCTAATATCAAGCATTCAACTCTTTTGTCTTTTCACTTACACGAAGACGGCCAATATTTAGCAGAACAATTTACATTTATACAAACAAATACAAAAAATATATATAAAAAAACGAGACTACATATAATTTTGAGGAATAAAGTGTGTGTGTGTGTGTGTGTGTGTGCTACACTTCATATTTCATTGAAATTCACCTGGGCACTATGGAGCAAGTTTCACTGTGGGCAATTAAAGTCCAATCAAAACATTTAACATGCTTAATTGGAGGCGTCTTATTTTAATTTAAAATATATCTTTATATATTCAATTCAAATGTCTACAATTTGTTCTTCTTAAAGAATATTTTGTTTTGGGCGGACACAACTGCGCGCGGGCAGCTTTAAATCGTAACTGACAATTTGTCAAGTTCAAATGTGCACGATTAGATGCGTACAAGGGCGCCACAAGCAAACAAAGAGAGAGAGAGAGACAGTGAGTGGCACCAGAGAGAGTGCTTGGGCAATAGTCAAGTGGTAATGCAGCAGCAAATTTTAATCAGTAAATATTTATCAGTTGTTGCGAAAGCACGTTTTCACACACAGATTTGCACTTGGCATGCACCGAGAGATAACAACAAATCTATTCAAATTGCGCGCGAATGTGTTGCAGCCCTAGTCTGATAAGCACTCTGCTCTGGTGAATATAGACGACCAGTAAGCAAGCATAATAAATAAACAAATAGAAATATAAGAAATATAAATATAAAAATATACACACAAAAAGGAACCATCGATTAACAAACACACGACTCATTGACTATAACATTTAGGTCTTAATCAGTTAAATTGAAAACATCGCAAATTGCTATTTGAATTACGCGCCTTTGCGTAACATCCCTGACCTGTAGGTCGCATTGCCAATTGCGCTGTGGTGAATATCAATCAACACGCGTGCCATTTATATACATACATACATATGTGCATATTTGCACACATATACAAAAAATCAATTAAGTTGAACTAAACTAATTGATTGTACTTAACAAATTTGAATATTCTGATTTAATTCTTACCCGCACGGACAATATGTACGCATGTCGGCCATAGATGATCCGCGGCAGGTACCTTTCTTGTCTATGACATTGCCACAGACAACGCGTGGCAGTCAAATTCACGTGATCTGGCCGAATTCGCCTTAAACTTGCATAAATTGCCATCAGCATGGTGAACACTCAATTTGTTTTTGATATGCGTCTGTTGTATATATAAAGATTTATATCCGTGGATTGGCTAATTTCTTGTATATTCCACTCGTTTTTACATAAGCGTTGTTTATCATTAGTGGCACCACACACTCGGCCAATTCGTTAATGCGAGGAGGAGATTGCACTGCAACTGACAACGTCCAGGTTGAATTTTGGTTGGCCAAGGTTAGCGCATTCAGGCCCGTGCAATAGATTCTTGTGCCTAACGCGCACTTTCGCTGTAGCGCGCATGTCTGGGTAAATTGCTGTTGCCAAGAAAGCAATAGAGTGTATTATGTATGGGGCCAAAATGGAAAAAGAAATAAATTGAAAATTTTTTATGTAAACAAGGCCGAAACAGCTGAGCGTTTTTGCCATTCACGGCGAGCTATTACATAAGACAGTGCTGCCAGCTCCCTTCAAAAAAAATTACTCTTAAAAATATCGACTTGTAATCGGAGAGGGTTTATTCATTTTACATTAAAAGTGAATTAAAAACACATTTATTTTAATAAGCAGCCTTAAGTATGTCACGTAGTGCTCGTCCTCTTACCTCAGCCCGTGTGCGACATAAGATTAAAGAATTAACCACGCCGTCAGCCGACAGCAACTACGTGGTCAACCGGAATCCTCGCAATCTGGAGAGGTTACGCATAGGCTATAAGCCAACCGGTTATCATCTAGAAAAACCAGGCCGTTCCTATTGGCACACACTAGAGATCAACACCAGCGGTCGCTACGTTAGCGCCGATGTGAAGCATTTCGAGAATGGCACAATTCTGAGTGCTAGCACCTCCGAGTGGGCCATCAAGCAACAATTGTACAAAACTAATGATACACCTGCATTTGTCAATCTTGGCCGTGTGCTCGCCCAACGCTGCCTACAAGCCGGCATTACTGAGATGACATGCAACGTAACCGCTGTCCCCGGCAGTAAACTGGAGAAGCTGCTGAAAGCTGTGCAGGAAAACGGAGTCAGTTTCCAGGAACCCGCCAGACTCCCACTTACACATCCCTGGGATGCGTTTAGACATGAGAAACCCTGGGAGGTAACGGAACAACAAATATCGACACAAACTGCAGCAAAGAAATAAAAACAAAGACAAAATTGTTTCGGATGTCGTTTCGTTTATAATAAACGTTGAATTATGCTAATTACAATGAACCAACATCATTGTTTTATTTAAAACTAGCCGCAGTCAACCGCTCGTCTATTCGTACTTGCCCTTGATGTCCTTCCATTGTTTCTGCAACAGGAGAAATAACATTTCATTTGCACAAATTTATTACATAAGCAACAAAAAAACTTACGCCTTTGTTGATGCTGTCGAAGATCATGTTCGAAGTGACATCAATGGCGCGCTCAAAGAAGAAGGCCGATGCCATGATGGCCACAGCATATGTGGATGTACGTTTAAAAAGCGAATTGTAAATAACCTTCATTTTGGTTAGATTTTTTGAAAATTTTTAATTTTTCTAGCAAAATTGCAGTCGCTTCTCGCACGCCAATAAACAGCTGTCACAGACCAGTGTGAGGTAGCGTAAAAATATTTACGTAGCACGTTAACGACACTGCGACCAGACAAGCTTGCGTCGCGTGGCAGCCTTGTTGTTTTTCAGTTAGATGGCAACGCCAGTTAAATTATTTTCATCTGAGTCGAGTTTCGGCAATTTCTGAGATAAACTTAAACTGTGACAGACGCCACAATAGAAACAGCCTGCCAAGCTGCATTAGTTACCCAGTGATCCGAAAAATATAATTTCTTTTTAATTTACACACAATGGTCGATTTAACCGATGCCGGTTCACCGTTCCAGCAGTCCATACCAAATCTTGCATTCTATGTGCCGGCCGTTGTTGTTTTTGGATTAGCAGGTGAGTTGGTTTAGTTAATGCATCATAACATAGGGATGCGTTTTGTTGCGTCATGCATGCAATAAAATGAGCTGTACATCCGACTATACACATCCGCCACACCATTATGACAGACGCACTACTGTTATGTGGGTCAAAAGTAAAAGACAAAAAAAAGAAAAACAAGAAAACTTTCACCACTCTAAATCTAACTAGAATTGAACTACTGCGCTCCACCGTCCCTCACCTCTCTTCCATTGTGTCTTCCTTTGTTTTCTACACTGCTAAACTATTTGGAAATGCCGTTATCTTAATGCTGATTGGAATAAATGTATATGTGGTTTTATGTATCTGTCAAAGCTCTCAAAATTCATATTTTATTTATTTTTATTGTCTACGTGTACTTAGCATACCTATCTTTTTCTTTTTAATATATTTTTGAGGACGTATACAAAAGTTTTGCTGTTAAAAATTGAAAATGATAAGCTAGCAGCGATAAGGGCAGCACTACAAATTGTTTGGTAGCTCGCAGAGAAAATGTGAATGGGGGAGCTGAACACGTGCCCAGATTCGAGTTAGAATTTCCATTTGTATCCTCGCGTCTAGTTAGCTAGCACTTTAACACTATGCATGCCAGTAGCCAATAGCATATAGCCAATACCCCCTCTATATATGTAAAAGCTTGCAGCTGATAAGTCCATATTATCTCATATTATTTTATTTACTGACTTGAGTCCCAACTACCTGTAAAAAAAAAATATGCTGACGCTTGAGCAAAAAGAACATAAAAGCAATACTCAATACAAAGCGCAGCAACTACCTGTCCGCACGTATATATCATATAGAATGAAATATAAGCACACCTGATTACGAATAAGTTCTTATTTTTCCAATTTATATATTAGATTTGCCACTTAACGTTCAGTTTGTTCAAGACAACGCTGCCGAACGTTAGTCGCGTCGCTTTAAACATATAAAGTGGACACAATTAATTAAAAATAGTGAGTTAGTTTGTTATAAAAAGTGAATAGTCATTTTATTTATTTGATTGTAAATTAAAATTAAAAAAAAAAAAAATTAAATAAAAAAAATTACCCAACTCGCAGCCGGTAGGATTCGAACCTACGCTCCCAGAGGGAATCTGATTTCGAGTCAGACGCCTTAACCACTCGGCCACGACTGCTGTTGATGGTTAGCAACCTAAGTGCCATAAGAGAGCAAATGAACGCGCGCATTTAGCTGTGAGCGAAACTTTTTCGTCTTGCTCTTTGCCACGTTGAATTTTTTGTTCTTTTGCTCAACATAAATCATTGAATTTTATTTAATTTAAATATTCGCTAAATAGTTAAAAGAAACAAATGGAAATTAAATACAAAGCTGCTGCATGCTATAAAAATAGTTATTTCGTTATGTGCTAGTTAGTCTATAGCTAAATAATACATTGTTTTGCCTGCACTCAAGAAATTTTAACTTGCAGACGCCATAAATCGTTAAGCCCGCAGTCCCACAGCTAACTTAAACTTAACTTAAAAGCCAAAGTCAAAGTCAAAAGCCAAAGCTTAATCAATACAAACCGTAAACGATGGCCGAAGATCCATTGAATCAGCGCGCATTTGCCGAAGATGTGGCCGCTGCCGCAGCAGCTGGCGGTGATGAGGGCTTCGCTTTGCCCCCGGGCTCAGGTCCTGGTTCGGCTGGCTTCCAAATGCCCACCGCTGATGAAATATGGAAAATGGTCGAGTCCATGGACGGCATCACAGACGATGAACGGGCCGAGCTGCGTGAAAGCATATTCAATCCGAAGGCAGCGTCGCCAGATGATTTATTGAAATACGGACAGCCGGGCCACAGCTCAAAGGAGTATCTAATATTCTTTGTGATGCTAGCGCTCATCTTGCTGGTCTTTGGTAAGCTGAGAATACTACCTCGCATTCGTGAAAACTCCAACTGAGCAAAAGAAATGAGAGTCGGCCTAGGCATTAACCTGAATTCTCGGATTTCCCACTTCTCATATATATATCCCTTGAAGCATTCATTCACAAATAAGGCATAGCTCTGGTTCTTCCGTCTGTCTTTGTGTTGAATTGGTTCTTTATCATCTTCGATAATAGATAGCATAAGCTAGCATCTTATCTAGCTTACTGTTCTAAAAATATTAAAATAAAAAGTGGCTTTTGTTTGAGCTATTTTAGTTTTCGCTACTCTACATGTTACCTGGCGCGCCTCCTGCAACAGATAAGCAATATGCTCCATATGACCATTACGAATGGGTATTAAAACAAACACAATATATGTATGTATATAATTATGGATGTATTGGTGATATCTGTGGATAGTGTGCGCTGTTAACATACTCTGAAATAAACATTGCTCTTATTTATTATTGCTGAGAATGTCGGTTTTTATAGCTGTTCGATTTTCGATAAGATAGGGAGAGAAATCCACCACAAAATAATTACAACAAAAATTTTTATATACACACATATATATATGAATAAAGACAAGAAAATCAACATAAAAGGTTTTTGGTCAGAGCAGCGTGGTTGGCCATGCCGTTTATTTTCTATCTCTCTATCTATCTATAGTTTTAATTTTATTATTATAATTTTTCGTATCAAAATTTTGGTTGTAAATTTGTGCCATGGCTTCTAATGATGAAACCCTAATTGAGCAGTTGAAGCGCTCTGTGGAGTCGCTGGTCGCCAAGACCGGGCCGCACAGTCGTTTCGCTGAGGATCTAATACAGAAAATTGGGAAACTGCAAAGCAAATTGGATTCGCTGACAGATGTAGATCGGCATCAGTTTGTCAGTGAGATGAAGGGCTCCATCCAAGAGGCAATAGCGAGAATCGAGCATCGGCTGCAACAGCATACGCATATCGCCCATGCCTATACCACCTCCATTCTGGTGGCTATCATATTTCTAATCGTCTCGGTTTTCGGTTAATATCGAGCCCCTGCAATACAGCCGTATTAAAGTTATCTAATAATCATTCGATTTCTTCTCTTTTTTCAGCTCTCTTTGGCTTCAAGCTCTACAAATCGTTGACGGAGAAGGAGCTCAAGAAACAGGAGAAACTCAGGAGCAAACAGCAGAAGAAAAGCAAGAAATCCAACTAGGCTCTCTGTATTGCCCATTCTTTATAGATATATGCTTATAGTGTATACAGTTATATATCTATATATATCGCAATAATCGTTCTTTTTGAATTTATATTAAATTGCAAAAGTTTTGTTTTAAATGATAAAAAATAACGTCAAATATAAATTGCCTGTAAATTAATTCAATTTATACACAATGTACATGTAGCCATTATGCGTATAAACAATATATAAATCATTATAAAATTTAAAAGTTGAAAGAAAATCCCGTTTGCTTTGCGTGTTTATTTGCCATTAAACAAGACCGTTTGTTATCCTTTCATGGCATTACGTGACGAAACCAAAACTTGTTGCTAAAATACCGCAATTGTAAGTCATCGATATATCATATATACATCAAAATTCGTATAAGCCTGACCGTTGTCATGACAAATAAATAAAACGTTTAGTCGTAGCCTTTGCCGTCAGCTTTCGACACTTTTGGGACTAACAACAAAATTTCTGGCCTTCAGTTCTATTTCAGCGGTCTATCAGACTAAGCACATTATTGATATATAGAGAATGTCATATTCGAGCCGTGGGTATTTGCTGTCACGTTTATTTGGCTGCGGCTAATTGTGGCTCATTCTTTAGGTGGCTTCGATTTTTTCCTGCCCTCGGGCGGTTGGTGCAATCCGAAGGATGATAAATATTTTCGTCGCAGCATTGAGTGGGTGCCCATACGCAGCGCTGGTATCGGACGCTCCTTTGCCATAACTAACGGTGTCATCTATCCTCGTATCATCGGCATGTTGCCGCATTATGGCGGCCATGTGCCTGGCGAAATCTTTAAGGTGGGCCACACCTTTGGACGTTCCACAGTTGACGCTAAACGTTGGCTAGCCCTGCACCATGATTAAATGCTTGCCTTGCATCAAAATATACATAAGTTAAAAGTCAGAAAATTTTCGCTTTAGCCAGCACGTTACAAATTGCAAAGTATATAATAATTAAATTGTGTGTTTTAATATAATTACGAGTCAATTGCATAGGAATTTAAAAATGCCGCCAAAGCGGCTTATCCGCGCAGCATGTAATGTGCAATGGTCACATTGGCGCCGTTTTTAGATCTGGGATTTTTTCATGATTTCCTTTTGTAATTGCAGATATATAAATTTCTGGTTTCTGGCTGTTGAATTGCAAACAAGTTAAGAGTAATTTTTATATAAAACTATTTGACTTTAGTTTAGAATCGAATACAGTTCAACAGCTTTGACTCAGCATTTAAAAATGCCACCTCGCTGCTGTACTACGGCCACACTGGCACTATGTTTTGGTTTTGGCGATTTCACCATTACGCAGCTTTTTCCCAAGAAAAACATGACTTTCCCTCGCAATTTGTTATATTCGCGTCTGAGTTTGTTAAATAAATACAGTCGTAATGTAAATACAAGTGCAATAAGGCTACAAAATGTGCAACAGGTGGCGGCAAAAAAACGGATATGTATTGTGGGCGCTGGTCCAGCCGGTTTCTATGCAGCACAATATTTACTCAAACAGCTGAGCGACTGCACCGTGGACATCGTTGAGAAGTTGCCAGTGCCTTTTGGATTGGTGCGGTAAGAGGGGAGAGTTAACCTAGTTGCTTGTGCTGTTGCCACTTTTGGCATTGTCGTCCAGCCCAAAGATTGGTCCAACCACTGAGCGAAAGATGCCATTGAAATAGGCTGAGAAAAAAAAGGTGTGTGAGAGGTAGAGAGAAAGATAGAAAGGATATGCACTTGTTGCTACTTACAGCCCACCTGGTCGAAGGTCCATATGGGGCCAGGTGCACCCGCCACAAGTAATAGCTGACAAAGCAACATTACTAAGCCGAACACAATCAAAGCACGAGTCGTCCACATCTTAAAGAATCGAGAGACAATTGCGTTTTGTGCGGCCAACTGACTGGGGCGTTTATATTTAATGACTGTTGCATGTGGATAACACGCTGACACTTATCGACTAATGACAATTGCCATTATGCAAATCGACATTCCAGCTTTGGTGTTGCGCCCGATCATCCGGAGGTCAAGAACGTCATCAATACGTTTACAAAAACTGCGGAAAATCCGCGTTTACGTTTCTTTGGCAACGTTACCCTTGGTCAGGATGTCAGCCTGCAGGAGTTGCGGCAACGCTATCACGCTGTCCTACTTACCTACGGCGCAGATCAGGATCGTGAGCTGCAGCTACAGAACGAGGACCAGAAACACGTCATATCCGCTCGCAAATTCGTGGCTTGGTACAATGGCTTACCGGGAGCGGAGCAACTGCAGCCGGATCTAAGCGGGCGTGATGTAACGATTGTGGGACAGGGCAATGTGGCTATGGATGTGGCACGCATGCTGCTCAGTCCAATAGATACACTGAAGGTAATTAGGTATAGATATATGTTATTATTTTTATTTTAGTTAATCTTCTTTTACTTTCTCCACAGGAAACAGATACCACGGAATATGCACTGGAAGCTCTGGCGAGAAGTCAAGTGAAGCGAGTGCATCTCGTGGGACGTCGTGGACCTCTGCAAGCTGCCTTTACGATAAAAGAGCTGCGCGAAATGCTCAAATTGCCCAATGTGACGACTAATTGGCGAGCAGATGATTTTGCAGGTATAGGCTACAAAGACTATAAATATATAATCTAGTTAAATTCCTTTATTCGCTCTGCAGGCATAGCCGAGCAGGTGGAGCAGCTGCAACGACCGAGGCGACGTATAACCGAATTAATGCTCAAGAGTTTGAGCGAGCAAAGCAAACGCACAGCGACAGCTGTAGATGGCAAGCAATTCCTGCCCATCTTCCTGAGAGCACCGAAAGCCATCTCTGCCAAAGAAATGGAATTTGCTGTCACGCAGCTGCAGGAGAACGCGGCAGTGGCTACGGATACAACGGAATGCCTGCCAGCTGATCTTATCTTGCGCAGCATTGGTTACAAGTCCAGCTGTGCAGATCCAGCCATCAATTTCGATCCCCAACGTGGCCATGTGCGCCATGACCAGGGGCGTGTGCTGAAGGAAGGCGAAGGGAGCAGTGTRGAGCCAGGCCTGTATGTGGCTGGCTGGCTGGGAACTGGACCCACCGGCGTCATCTTGACCACCATGAATGGCGCTTTTGCGGTTGCCAAAACCATCTGCGATGACATAACAGCGAATGCTTTCGACACGGCTTCAACCAAACCTGGCTTCGAGGTGGCCAACCAGAGGATAGTGACCTGGGATGGTTGGCTCAGGATTGACCAACACGAGTGCGAGGCGGGCAAGGCCAAGGGCAAACTTCGCGAGAAGATCGTGGATATTGAGCAAATGCTGCGCATTGCAGGCGTCTGAGCAAGTTTTATGGAGCTTGAAACAGCACAGCAGCTGTTATACTTGTCATTATACCTATATATGTATATATTTATGTAAATTTGTATATTTGTATTCATACAAACAAAAATTTATGTTATAGTTCAATTACTCTTAAACAAACAAAGAACATTTCCAAATTTGCAGTTACAATAATTTAACTTGAGAAAAATGGACAACAGCATGACTCCAGAGCCGCACTTGGTGCCAGGGTGAGAGGGATTAACTATCGCCACTAGTTCCACACATTCAACTACCATTACTAACCATACAGCATACATCTACATGAATAGCTGAGATATCTAATACACACTAAAGTCTGTGCGACAGGCTGCTCTTTCACTCGCTCTCAGAGCCATAGGCCTAATTCTGCGGTCGAGCGAGATAGCCGCTCTCTGTTTACTATTGCCAGTAACGCTAAATTGTTGCTCTCTTTTTATCGTAAATATGTACGAATGTATGTACAATGTTAATTAAGTAACGGCTTATTTCTCTCTCTTCACCACAATTTCGCTCTGTTACATACATATGTACAAATGTATGTGCTTATGAATTTGTGTATTTTTGCATACTCTTCCCTTATAAATAAAAACAAATGATAAGCTTAGAAAACATCGATGTAAATGTATGTGTTTCTGTGCGTCTATCGAGCTGCTTGCTAAAATTGCCCCTCCTTTTCAATTCGCTCTACAGTTATACCGGGCACTGTCCTGAGAACCGCGATCGAGTGGGCAAGACGTACGGCAGACAGACGCACACGCTTCTTATCGATCCTTGCAGTAATCATGCACCTGAGCTAATTCTGGCGCCCATTGATGCCAAGCCCGATAACAAGGATTATCCTACACAAAGTGAGCTGAAGATTCTGCATGATCGCAAGGAATTTGTTGACCCTGTGTATCAGCATCCCATTATACCGGGCTATGCGGGCTTCGTGCCCAACATGTTCAAGCAGACTGGCAAACGCTATGTAGCCGCCGCCACAGCGGGCGTCGCTCAACACGAGACGCTTATGCAGCTCTACCGCTGCGAGAAGCGCACATTGCGTCATCGAGATTTGCTGGAGAGTGGAAGAGGATTGTTCGAGCACAAATGGAATGAGCGATTGGTTAGCATTTTCTCTTCATCATTTATGGTTGTATATAACATCTGCTCTCTTGTAGCTACCTCAATCGACCTATCGTGCACCCTTGTTGCCAGTTACGCGCGTTTGCAAGGGCAACAAGGACGAAAAATGCCCACCGACAACGGAGAAGCTATGCTACAGCAAATTCACTACTCCCCACTTTCTGGACGATGATGATGCCGATAAGTTCATCATCAATGGCTATGCTGCTCATATACCGATGGCCATGACGCGATTCGGGGAACCGAGCAAGGTACTCACCCACAATGCCCTATGCAGCTTCTCCGACTACATGTACAAAAAGAAGCGCGATAGCTGGTGCTGTGGCCAGGATTTGACAACGCCAGCTATCAAGTGCCCACCAGTTGGACACTTCATCATTTACCATAACAATCATGGCATGCATCCAACTTATGCCGGTCACGTTCCTGGCCATAATTACAAATTTGGACGTTCGTTTGAGAAGACAACATACCATGCGAAACGCTGGTTGGAGGTTCACCAGGATCTCACGGTTCTACCCGAGATTGCCAAATTGGATCTCGAATATTAAACAAATCTGTAATCGCAGACAATTTGTTTTGTGCTTGGCTCTGCTGAATGTGTGTATGAATTAAAGAAAAAAAAAAAAAATACAGTAAACACATTTAAATTTATGTGGTGATTAAGTTTTAGATTAATGGCGGCTTTTGTGAGTTTTTAGTATTTTAGTCGTTATCTAGTTTGGTCCCACTGGCTTGTGTAAACTAATCTATCGATGTCGTGTATCGATACGACAACAACATCGCTGCTCTCGTTTCTACGTCGTTGCAGTTGATTAAAATAAGTTTTCATTGAATCGGCATGTTTAATATGCTTAAATCGTTGTCAATACCATGATTAACAAGTGTTTAGTGCCTCTAGTGCTTGGCAAAAATGTAAATGCTTAAGTTTTCATAGCAAAACACATAAAAATTTCCATGAACGCCAACCGAAAAAATCTCTTCCGAATCGAACAAATTCAAACTAACACATAGTGCCGCACTGTTCACACCGGAGCGCTGTTATAGTACCGCAGTGAGTGCAAGTGAAGCAAACAGTCGTATACGAAGATAACATACATTTGTGTACCTACCTCTCTTCAAGTGGTGAGTTGAATGCCGATTACTGCACCCTGCACGCAATTGTAGTGCGCGGCATATAAGTGCAGCGCTTGCTTGTCAGTGGAAAATCAACATGTTTTTCGGGATTTATGCGTGTGGGAGCTAATTTCCACGAGTTTCCGTTATCACCATGCGATAACAGTGTGCATAGCGTGTAAAAAAAGTGAGCAAAGTGCTTATACGTTAAGGGGAAAAAGTATGCAGGTAATAGTTGTGTCGGTGCGATCCTACCACAACTTGTTTATTAAAAGCGAACAAACGAATAAAAATAAAAACAAAAAAATACATATGTAATTTGTTGTTGAAGGTGAGATTCAACGAATCCGTGTTGAGTTGGGAGAGCGCTCAAGAATGAGAACGTATAGAGAATTAGGAAAAACCGCCAAAATGGGTTGAGTTTGTTTTGCATCGATTTTCCGGCCGCTAAAAAATGGATGCACGTATTTACCTATTGCCAATTTAAATTTTCAGAAAATCCGTGCTGAAATGAGTGAAACGACGGAAAACACCACGGAGTCGACGGCCACAAATGATGTCGCAAAGAGCGAGGAGCAGCAAGTGAAAGCGGCTGACATAAAAGAATCCAAAGATAACGATGCAGATGCAACAGCCATGGACACGGATGCGGATGCGAATGCGGATGCAAATGCGAATGCGGATGCTGATGGGGATAATGTGCAGGCACAAAGCGAGCAATGCTTAAGCGTGAAGCCTATTAATTCTTCAGTAACCACAGTGGATATCAATACGTTAACGCCGTCGACACCCTCACAGACGCCGCCACAGCTGCTGGCAGCTGAAACAAGTGCAACAACAACAGCATCGGCTGCTTCAAGTGAGGCGACTGCTGCAACAGCCATACCAGAGAATATATTATCGCCGCCCAAGTCGGAGACACAAACGGATGAAACGAATACGGCCACATCGACCTCTTGCTCTCCAGCCTCAGAGGGTCAGAGGTCGCCCATAGCAGAAGCTGAACTACAGCAGAAACCAGATAAGCCAGCACCAAAAGCTGAGGAACCGGAAAAGGCAACCACAGTTAATGGCACCATACCAAAGTCGGGCAAACCGCTGGTAACGGCGCTCAACAAGAAACTAAACAAGTCAGCCACCACATCGCCTCGAGCATCACGTGCGCGCAAGCCGAAAGCTCTGCCCATGTACGAAAGCGAAATCAGTGACCATAAAGTTGGCATCAAGCTGTGCATTAAGAAATCGGATGCAGCTGCTGGCGGGACGGAGCTGCCAGCTGCAGGTGCAATCGCAACTCCAGTAGCACCTTCACCGAAATCCGCAGCGTCAACGGCCAAAACTGCACGCAAACGGGTACGTAAACCGAAGCAACAGGATAGCGACGAGAGCGAATACGAGCCACGTAAAAAGAAGGCCGGCGGTGGCAGTAGCAATAACAGCGAGCGTCAAAAGCGAATAGCAAATGCGGCAGCTACAGAAGCAGATGCCGAGCCAGTTGAGCAGAGTCCCTGGGGTCATGACTTGCCCGAAGAAGTGCTCTTTCATGTAAGACCATAAAAACGTGACAAGTTATACAATTAATAACAATATTTGTTTTTGATTCCTGTAGATCTTTGAACACGTGGTCGATAAGGAGGGTTGCTTGCCCACGCTCTTTCGCCTCGGGCGTGTCTGCTCGTTGTGGAGACAGGTTTCGCTTAGACCCACGCTGTGGCGCACAATGGACTTGACCACCTGGATCAAGGAGAAATATCGGACGGAGCTCAAACTAAAATGGTTTGTGGATAACCGATGCAGTGCGTGCACTGAACTTAATGTTTGTAAGTATTTTTCTGAGTTCTCAATATTAAACAATTATTAATTGATATTAATGTTAATTGCAGCCAATTGGAAAATATCGGATATCAACTGTTTTCTGGTCAAGTTGTCAAATGGGTGTCCCAATCTGACGGGCATTACGTTATCTGGCTGGAAGGGTTTCACATCAGATCATTTAACATATCTGGTCGATAATATGCAAAAGCTTCAACGCATAGACTTGAGCTCAATCAATGTAAAGGACAATATAAAACGTTTCATATGGGACTTTTAATATTTATATTCGTCTTCCAGGTCGAGATGAATGCTAGCAAGAGCGCTGTGGGCGTTAATTCACTTTGCAATGCGTTGCAGACCATGGGCAGTCGCTTGACTCACCTTTACTTGGCACACAATCGTCTGGCGGGCATACCCAATATTGTCGGCGTTCTAGCGGTGCGTAACAAAACTAAGCTTTGTTAATGACAAATATTGGAGACTTAAAATTAAGGTTCTCTGTATATGACTTATATGGCTGAATCACGTAGGCAACTCAGCAACGTGCTACGAATGCAGTCTTAGCCATAAATCTTAGATGCTTTTAGCTTAGTTTTATATAGTTAACTTATAATAACATACATTCTAATCAATTCAATTGCAGACGCACTGTCCAAACTTGGAGCTCTTAGATCTCTCAAATGTGACCACTCAGGCTACATCGCACGGCGTGCTATACATAGAAAAGCTGCAGCATGGGTGTCAAAAACTGAAAGTTCTGCGCGTTACCAATTCACACATTACGCCGAGTCCAGCCAGCATGCAGGAAATTGTAAGTATCGAGTGATTACTGTACTCAGCCAATTTCTAAATTAACTTGATTTATGTTGCAGATGGATTCGCCGGGCTTTCCCAATCTCGAGGAGCTTTCAGTGGCTGCGTTGACTGATGAATCTCGTATCATCAGTGATGATCATTTGCAGCGCATCTTGAAGAGTAGTTCCAAATTGAAGCTGCTCGACGTACGCAATTGCACACGACTAACACACGAGAGCCTAATACGTTTGCCAGCCTGGGACATTAAGCATTTATTTCTTTCGGGCTGCTCGGTGACACGTGACATGGGGTGGGTAATCAGAACAAGAGTCAATTATAATAATATATTAATAATAATGTATGTACATTGTCTAGATCGGGTCTGGAACTCATTGCGTCAAAGTGGGCGCATAGTCTCATTGAACTGGATTTGGCCTGGGCAAATGTACAGCAGCCCATAGATAATGCACTGCGTGCCCTGGCTGAAAAGGGCAAAGAATCGCCATTGGCGTAAGTTTTAGAATATTGTATATAAGAATTTGTAATGACAATTCTATATTCTCCTATTACAGCCACTTGAATCTGTGCGGCTCTTCTGTATCCGAGGAGGCGGTAAAGGAAATACTCACGAATTGTGTGCACATGAGCTCAATTAATTTGGCATCGTGTCGCGGCTTGCCACGCGGCGTTAAGCGCCTTATGCAGGGACCACAGGAGTTGCACGAACTGCGCGAGGTACTCGGCGTACAGCTGAAAGTGCAGTAGAGACTATAACTAGAATGTACAACAATTTCTCCTTCAATTGTTAGTAACAATTGAAATTGTTATGCATTCTGTTACAATTAGGAAAAACGACAGAGAGAGAGAGAGAGTAACGAAAGCGTTAAGTGTTTGTGGTTTCTGTTTTCCACTATATATGCAATAGTCGAAAATCGCTTCGTATCTTCCAACTTCATGCTTCAATTTGTTTTCTAGGCCCGCGCACCTTTGTGTTTTGTAAATGCAATATATATGTATTCATTAATTAATTGATAACGAAAAATGAGAACTTATATATATAAATATATATGTATATATATATATTGATTAGAGATCGTAGTTAAGACACTAAAGAATGACCACTGTATGTTTGTAAAGTATGTATGCATATTTAAAATTAAGTTTACAACTAATTTGTATGTTTTTTGCAATACAAAACAATTGAAAAGTTTATAAAAAAAAAGTGAAGGAAAAAATGATTAACAATAAATAGTAGTCGTCAATTTGAATGTCACTAAGGCAATTTGTAGAACGTTTTAACCCCCAGATCAACTTTGTAAATAAGTATATTGGCGCTTAAGTAAACTTTTTTCTTGATTGAAGTCGGACGAAAAAAAACACACACATACATATATTAAAAACAATTCAATTGTTAAGCATTATTAGTAGTAAAAAAAAGGCAATTAAAGGTACATTTAATTTTAAAATAAAAACAAATTTTAATATCCTAAAAAAAAGTCTTATCAATCAAAAGATTTTGAAGATATTGTATAATTCTGAAAATCTTTAAAAAAATACTATCCATCGAAATATTACAATTTTCTTTAAAGTTCTAAATTAATATTTTAAAAAAATATATTAAGATTCTTCGACATACATTTTTTGGGGTTTAAAAAATTAATTTTTAAAAAAACATTTAATTTCGTTTTAAAATATTTGGTTAAATATTGATATTAATTTTATAGAAAAAAATGTGCTAAACCAAATTTTATACACTACTTTCTATACTCAAATTTAATATTAAAAAAAAAAAAAACAAATCTCTTGTGAAAAAGAAATAGAAAATGATATTTGTTTGTTTCTTATAAAACTTTTATTTCGCTTAAATATTATATTCCTGGAAAATATTTAAAGACATGCTGCATTAATTTATTGTTTTTCACTTAATAATTTTTTATTGATGTTGCGACCGTAACTATTTTTGTAAATTATAAATTAAGAGCGTTTAAAGATCGGGCAAACACTTTACAAAAAACTAGTAGACAACATAAATCGCCTTTACCATATACATATGGATATATGTATATTAAATATTATATATCCATTGCCATTGCCATTGCCCTCTAGTTCTTCTTTAGCTTGTCCAGATCGCGAATGTAATCGGTGCCAATTTTAACGATGGCAGCACCAGAGCCGATGCCAGCGATCGTTGCCAGAAGTGCATTCTCCTTGGGCAAGGCAGACTTGATCAACGCCCAGGCGAGCACCGAACCCATGCTGAAGAGTGTGGCGCCTAGCAGGGCGTATGCTGCACGTTTGTTGTTCTTAATATCCTTTAAGTGTGGCCGACCGTATATGTAGAAGGCGCTGCCGACGATTGCGGAAATTAGGAAAACATTTGTTAAATCCTTTTTGGGCAATAATTTAGGCACAATCTGCGGATTCATCACGTTGACGCTGAGCGCTCCATAGCTCACGACTCCGTGCAATGGTATGTAATAGTTGAAAACGTTTTCTTTGGTGAAGGGCTTTAGACCGACCTTCTCGCAAATAGTGCAGACGTCTTTATTTTGTGTGCTAGCCATTGTTTGTAATTTTTTGATGTACAAATGCAGTAAAAAGTTGCTGCTCTCTTCAGTTATGTAAAGAACAGTGTTGTCAAATGTCGCAATTAAAATTAACTGTGCCGGTTTTTTTGTTCCTTTAAAGCTGTGTCAATTCTACATAAAAAATAATCTATAATATGAATTTTTTATGTTGTTTTACTTAAAATGATTTGACTAAATATGCAATGTGAGTGACAATAAGAATACTTTGCGAATGACCTGAAAGCCGGTACTTGAAAAACATGGTGGCAAGCTATCGCTTACAAAGTCGACGTCAGTCATATGAAATTCGTATATTACATGCATATAAAATGAGCGTATAAAAGGATGCAACTTTATTTCGCATTTAATAGTTGATTTAGTCATAACTTCTTAAATAGTTCCTATAAATTTGTTTAAATTTGGAGTCATAGCGTTGCCACATAGCTGCTATACAATTGCATTTTGCTCCAATTATATCGATATAAATTCATCGTAAAAGAAATTATCGTGCATTGGCCGAAAAGCATATTAAAGTGTTGAGTTTTTATTTTACAGCTAGGATAAGAAATAAATTAATGCGCGTATTTAATGTGCAGCAAGAGACAACTAACACGTGAAGATAACACAAAATACAGGCAACAACGACAGCTAAAGCTACGGCCGTATAAGACATGTTGACGCACAAAACTTGCCAGGCACGAAAAAAAATGCAGGTGAGTTAATACGAATATCCCCAATAAGAAACACCGGGTCCCTAACAATGCAAAAGATTAAGGAATATTCCTTATCATTCATGTAACTGACAAATGAAATGTGGTTATGGGATATTGAGCTAGATTTGTATTAATTTTCATTTCTTGGCAGGTTTCCTTTGTGATACGAGACGCGGAAGAAAAACAGCATAGGAATGGCGTTAATGCTCTGCAACTGGATAGCAACAATGGCAAACTATATTCGGCTGGGCGAGATGCGATAATACGTGTCTGGAATACACGCACCGAAGCCAACGAGAAATATATTCAATCAATGGAGCATCACAACGATTGGGTCAACGATATTGTGCTCTGCTGTAATGGCAGAAATTGTAAGAATGCAACTCTCAAGGCGAACGTTAACTAATGAATTATCTTTATTTTGCAGTAATCAGTGCCAGCTGTGATACAACTGTTAAGGTGTGGAATGCACATAAAGGCTTTTGTATGTCCACCTTGCGTACGCACCGAGATTATGTGCAGGCATTAGCCTATGCCAAGGATCGGGAACAGGTGGCCAGTGCTGGTTTGGATAAGGCCATATTTTTATGGGATGTGAATACATTAACTGCTTTAACTGCCAGCAACAATACCGTTACAACCTCTAGTCTAACAGGCTCGAAGGACTCCATCTACAGCCTGGCCATGAATCCCTCCGGCACGGTCATTGTCAGCGGCTCCACAGAGAACATATTAAGAATCTGGGATCCGCGAACTTGCATGCGTAGCATGAAGCTACGCGGTCATACTGAGAACGTGCGCTGCTTAGTTGTATCGCCTGATGGCAATCAAGTGGTCTCTGGTAGCTCCGATGGCACCATCAAAGTGTGGAATTTGGGCCAACAGCGTTGCATACAGACGATTCATGTGCATAAGGAAGGCGTCTGGTCGCTGCTAATGAGCGAGAATTTCCAATATATCATATCGGGCAGCAGAGATCGAAATATCATTGTGACGGAAATGCGTAATCCCAGCAATAAGATGCTCGTGTGCGAGGAGAAGGCGCCCGTGCTCAGTCTTGGATATAATATAGATAAAACTGGCGTGTGGGCCACCACCTGGAATTCCGATATACGCTGCTGGAAGCTGCCCATGTATGATCGTTGTGTGCTCAGCTCTGGCGGCATGGATGCCCAGTGGACGCTAGGTGGCACGGAATTGGCTTGCATTAAGGGCGGAGCTGCTATCAAGGAGTGTACTGTACTAAATGACAAGCGCTATATCATAACAAAAGACTCACAGGATCAGGTTGTGGTCTATGATGTATTGCGTGTTACCAAAAAAGAGGAGCTGGGTGTGGTTGACTACGAGGAGGAGGTAAAGAAGCGGAACAAACAAGTCTACATTCCAAATTGGTTTACGGTTGACCTTAAAACTGGCGTACGTAGAACTATATTAGTGTGATGCGTAAATTGACTAATTACATTATAATTTTGCTTACACAGATGCCTACGATAGTTTTAGGTCAGGAGGAGGTGGACTGCTTTGCTGCCTGGGTATCCATTGAGGCAGGATTGCCTGAATGTGATGATCCAACAACTGAGATCAAGGTATGGCAGTATATTATAATTATATTCTCTGCGTATATGTAAATATTAATATTTTCACAGATAAATTATGGAAAATTACTTTTGGAAGCCTTGCTCGAATACTGGACGCCTCCCCATAGTATGCCGCCCAATGAAATGGAGCCCGACGTACGAGGCAATGGTTATTTTCAAGTGCCCAAACACACTCCTGTCATATTTAGGTAAGCGAACACGAAACACCTAAACTAATTAGTTAATTTATAACAATGTATTCCTCTTGCAGTGAGGTTGGCGGCCGCACAGTGTGTCGCCTGCTGGTGCGAGATGCAGCCGGCGATAGTGAGAGCACGCTGCTGCATGAGACGGCGCCGCAATGGGTGACTGATGTTGTGATCGAAAGGAATATACCCAAGTTCCTTAAAATACCCTTCTTCCTGCAGCCACATCCACAAATGACCAAACCAGAGCGTACCAAAAAGGTTAGAAAAGAACTCTCTAAGATGAACAGTTCTTTTACATTTATTTAATAAACTTTCTATTTCTATATTTGATGAATAGGATCGTCTGGTGGCCAATGAGTTTATACAGTGCCGCAAGGTGTGCGAGCATGTGCTTGAAAAGGTGCTCAATGCGGAAACAACGCCCAGCGCTGGCAATGCAAATAATTCTTTACAAAATAGTCAAAGCGATGCCAATTCTGAAGGATCACAGCTGCCAGCAGAGGAACGCATTGAGCTGTGGTGCAACGATGTGGTAAGTAGCAGCGCAGAAGATTAATGGGCATATGCTCACGTCTATTCTCTATTTTGTTCTTTGTATATAGATCGTTGATCCGAATATGGATTTGCGTACTGTGCGTCATTTTATATGGAAGCAATCGACTGATTTAACATTTCAATATAAAACCAAGCAGAACTTTAACTTCGATGGTAAATAATGCATATTTGCAGTAAAACACACATAGCACACACTCAATTCACACACATACAAAAAACACACACACAAAAGCAGAGAGTATTTTTAATTTGTAACCTAATTATAGTTAAGACTTATATGTATATTCGTTCAATCCTAGGTTCAATCGGTGATAGCCTGGAGCGTGTGACTCGCAAGTATTGAGCTACAAATTTCAGCTACCAGAGTTATTGTGCTTTAACTAAAGGCGTTGCTTTCCACAGACGCGTGTGATTTCTAACTTTCTAATCTGTTTGTTATTAAATGGGCCAAATTTGTCAAGTACGCCTGTTCTTAATATTATGTGAATTGGATGAACAACAAAGTTTCAATTTGAGTTGAATTCTAAGAAACCATTAAAAAAAAATTCAAAGAAGTATATATTTATATATACACATACATATAGATCTTATATCGTACACCTTTATATCTTACTATACCATTTGCATAAACAACACACATATGTATATATATGTAAAAAAAATAAAACCAGTTAGAGATCAATGCATATTATGTATATGTTGTATATGTCTTGAAAAAAATTATTTAGTTGTTTACTTATTAAAATTACATAATATTTTAACTTTAAGTATTAAAAAAAATGATAAATTAAAGAAAACAAACACAAAAACAAAACAATGCAATTGTAGAAAAAAAAAAAAACAAAAAAAACAAAAAACATTAAAGCATATATGCAAGCCAACTTGTACATAAGTAAATCGAAGAAAAAATACAGAAAAATCGATTCAAAATATCACATTAAATTATTTGGAAAACAAGCTTGGCTTTTACTACTTAAGATTGAGTCAACATAAATATATTCATATACATTTATGTGAGGAATCCTTTATGTTAGATCATCTCTTATGATGCGCCTGATCAGATGGATATACATCCATATCCCATAGCAAGTGTAGCAACTGGTGTTTCAGCGTCCAGGGTATTAAGCAGTCTCTATTGAGGTACTTTGCATGTCTGCATATAAGCTTTACGTACATTTGACCATAAGCAATTCTCACTCAGCGTACGCAGTCGAGAAAGAACCATACGTGGGTACTGTAGGTATTTACAGGCGCTTCCTGATTGGGCTTTAGTGTTAATATTAATTGGCTTGCACAATATAAATCAAGATTTCGATTAATTGTGTTTGCAAACAAGTATACCTCGACTTTTTCAATTCCCATCTCACATCTCCAGCTATTTCTAGCATATAAGTTGATAAGGAACCTCAAACTTTCTTTAAATTTACAAGTATTTGAGTATCAAAGAGTACCGGAGTATCTATAAAACAGCCTGTCCTGGTGGCATTGCTGGAATATGACTGAAATAAAGGTATGACTATATTGTAGTTGTATTCTGTATGCATAATTTGACTAATAAATTCTGGAAAACTGTTTTGAAGTCTTGCTCAAGTATAGGACGCCTCAGTGAGGTTGACGACCGCACAGTGTGTCGCCTGCTGGTGCGAGACCCAAGTTCCTTAAAATACCTTTCGTACTGCAGCCACAACCACAAATTATCAAACCAGAGTGTAGTAAAAAGATCATAAATATCACTCTAAGATGAATTTTAAAAAATAAGTGAATTAAATTAATTTAGAATCGTCTGGAGGCCAATGACTTTATACAGTGCCGGCAAGGTGTGCTTAAGGGAGTATATACATACATATGTATAGATCTTATATCATACATACACCATCTATGTATGTATGTACAAACGGTTTTCATAAAACCAGTAAGATATCGAAGCATATTATGTACATATGAGTTTTTAAAATAGATACAGATCATATTCGCTCAAAGTATTTTGAAATACGATAAATTAAAGAAAAAAATATTAATATATGCAAGCCGACTTGTAGATAACTATTAAAAAAAATCTTATTTATTTATTTGAAAAGCCAGTTTGGCTTTTGCTATCCACAGCACAACTTAATATTGAGTCTTAATATAATTGTATCCGTATATATGCGAGGAATCCTTTATCTTCGACTCATCATACGCAGTCTTCTCTGATGCGCCTGTCTGTAATAGGTGTTGATAGTCCTTAGCAAGAGTAGCAACTGTTGCTTTAGTGTCGCGGGTATTAAATAGTTATTAATGAGAAGCTCTGGTGTATTGCATGTACGCTTTAGCCATCGTACAATTAGCCATAAGCAATTCTCCTTCAGAGTACGCATTGGAAAGTGGATGAGCACCTGGCTGCGTACATCACATAGCTCATCCGGCTGTTGGGGATTCCGTGGCACTCGTATGCGTATGGGATAAAATAAACGCTTCGATCGCACATGCATACGTTCGCCAGTGTAATAGTCGCAAAAGAACCATATGTGTGTATTATATGTATTTACAGGCACGCCCTGATTCGGCTTTAGTGTTAGCTGTATGTTCTGGGTGTTTGGATCGCTTGCCCAATATAAATCGAGGGTTCGATTTGTTGTGTTCACAAAAAGCACGTATACCTCGACTTCTTCCTGCGGCGGTACATTAAATAGTTCACCCCATTCCCCATTGTTCCGTGCTACTTGCAGTGCCATCTTGAACAAATTTGATCATATGTTTCAACGTTGACAAAAAAAAATTTCAATTTCTTTAAAGCGTACAAGTGTTTTTATATATCTTCTTCCAAAGTAACCATTCACAATGTACGAATTTGACTTTCGTTCATATCGTTAGATTTTAACAAGTTGGCAGCTCCGACTGTTTGTTGACAAACTGCACGTAGACTGCTAGCAGTGCGCATACAACACACGTTACTAATAGTCGGTGATATAAGCAGTTGCATCTTAAATAAACATTTCATTATACATGGGTATATGAAAAAAAGTGCAATCCTACATTAGTTTTTATTTTCCTTTCAATTTACCTAATTCGTAAACATGTTTTCATTTATCTTCTTACTAATTGCCATTCAAACAGAACGCTTTGTATTTCACACAGAGCGTCGACACCTGATTACTAACAGCTGTTCGGGTAAAGTAAATAAAATATAAACAAATTCTTCACAATGGCATTTTGTATTGCTGTAATTGGCAAAGACGTAAGTTGTACTTAATAACAACTAAATTAACAAATAAATATTAAACATAATACATTTAGAATGCTCCGCTGTACTTGGCCACATCGGATGTGGAGCGTGAGCTGGATCTGCAATATCATGTTCATGCGGCACTCGACGTTGTAGAGGAGAAATGTGTAATTGGCAAAGGAGCTCCCGAGTCTAAGGAACTCTATTTGGGTCAACTGTTTTCAACAGAGAACCATAAGATGTAATAGCTGCTGGGTACACAAAACTTTATTTCATTAATGATCTACCGTTTTTATTGTTTTAGTTATGGCTTTGTCACTAACTCCAAAATCAAGTTTATTGTTGTCATTGACTCCAGCAACATTGCACTGAGAGAGAACGAGGTGCGCGCGGTATGTGCAATGGATTTGTTTTAGCAAGTATAGTTGATCTTAACTACAGTAATTATTTGCTTGTCTTGCAGATATTTCGTAATTTGCACATGCTTTACACGGATGCTGTGTGCAATCCTTTTTACATTCCGGGCGAGCAATTGACATTTAAGTATACATTAAATTAAAAAGATAAATAGGTATATATATTTAAAATTAATCTATTTTCTTTTACAGAAAATTTGACCGAGCAGTGCAGAAACTAATGAGTGGCAATGTATAATGCTGTAAAAGAAGAGAGGATCGGAGATGAGGAAAGCAATGAATAGGATAAGAGTGGACATCGCTTAAAGCAAAGGGGCGGATGAGATAAGCAAATTTTGTATTCAACAGCAAAGGAAAAGAAGGAAGAGGGAAGGAGAAGTTTACTTCCGAGCACTGATTAAGAGAAACGTGTCTTGGAGTAAAGAAAAAAGCGTGTCAGAGGAGAGGAGCTACTGCAAGGGACTGATTAGCAGAGGAGTGAGGTCAACAACAAAAAAGATGATTGGAGATCAGAGGAGAGGAATTGAATGTAAATAAATAAATTATAGGCACCTGGAGAGGGCATTTTTATGCTAAATATATATAATATTATTATAAACAATTCGTCTTATAACTTCAACTATTTTATTCTAGTAAAACTGTCTATATCTATCAAAAATATTAAATAAATAATTTGACAACACAAATCGTGAATCATTCTAAGACAACCATTTTTTTTTTAGTATATACATAATTCAATATTTATAAACATTTCCATTATGCCTATGCTGTTTTTTTTTCAATAAATCTGAAGAGTTAAGTCGACGCTTCTTAATTAAGATTTAATAGATTTTTTTAAAGGATTTAATAAAAGCATATAAGCAGAGAGATATTTTTTATTATTAATTAATATAAATTATGTGTATATGTAAATCATAATAATAAATAATTACATATATGGTAATTTTTTTTCATTTTCAATATTAAAAAAAAAAATTGATTTTGTAGAAAATGTAAATTTGATTTTTTTTTTAATGAGGTTTATTTAAGGAATAAATTTAAGTTGACACAGTCGGTATAGCACGTTATAAAAACCTGTTATTCACGTGAGATAATGCCAAAAAATATAAAATTAAATTCAAATTAAATGTTTTGGTGTTAAGACTAAATGAAATATCATAAACATACAAATATCACAACTTTTTTTAGAAATTATTTTTAGAGTAATTGAATTGATTTTGACAAATGTTTTTGAAAATTTTTTTTATATAAAATATTTTAATTTTTTATTTGTTTAGTTTTGTATAATAGAAAACTTAATAATTGATGACAGTGACAACTGTCAAGCGAAACTGATAGCAGATAAACAGATCTTCAGTCAGGAGTGTACCACTAGAAGATACCCTCAACGCAGAATAGAGAACCATATATTCAGTACCAGGCTGTGCATAAAACTATTAAAAAAGTGCAAATAGGCTCTCCAGCTTATATACGAAAATCCGTACGATATAAATACCTAAAGGAGTCGGCCATGCCTCCTTCTCATCAACAGTTAATATACATATGTCTATAACGCGTTCTTAATCAAGAAGAAAATACCTAATTATCTTAAAAATATCAATAAAAAAACATCAATAGTTATGACATTCATATATGCATTGTTTAGCTAGTTGGCTAGTTGACAGCTAGTATATATGATATATTTAATTCGATTTCCGCTTCTTCAAAATGCCGAAAACTAGTTTTTATTTTGAGTCAAGTCGAGAGGAGTAGATCTAATGATAAGTTTTTGTCTATTGCACAGACTTATTTACATAATCAAACGGACGAAAATGTGTATAAAAGGCGTTAACAGTCCGAGATCTGATATCAGTTACTCTTCTCGAGTCTCCCAGGAAACAACATGAAGTTCTTCGTAAGTGATGCTAATTAATATACCATTCATTCATATCATATATCTAATATTATATTCTCCTTCTACAGATCGCTTTCGCTTGCCTGTTGGCTGTGGCCTGCGCCTATGAAAATGTTGATGTCATTAGTGACGCAAGAAATCTCGACATTGACAGCTTCCAAACTGAATATAAGCTCTCGAACACGATTGAATCACAACAAAGCGGTAAACTGAATGGTGAAAACTGGGTGGTTACTGGACAAAATAGCCATGTCTCTCCTGAGGGTGAAAACGTTTTCATTCAATACGTCGCCGACGAAAATGGCTACAATGTTGTTAAGGCCAATCCTCCACTGCCCACCCCACCTGCAATCCCAGAGGCAATCCAGAGGGCCATTGAATATATCAGGGCCCATCCGATCCCTGAAAATCAGAACTAAGTTTTTCTGTCTTGTTAATAAATGAAAATTGATATTATTGAGATAAAATATACTGTATCGTTCTCTATTGTTAACGTAAAGAAAGCAGGATCTGAAAACATTTTCCACTAGGCAAAATTCTCCAAAAATAATCCTTTATTCCAATTACTACTACTATTACTTATACTGCTACTAAGTAGAAGTAATAGAGATATAGTACTGCTTCTACTATTACTACTTCTGGTATTCCCAAGTAAGAAAACTACTACTACTAATGACCTCTAATATGACAACTATTAATACTATAACTTATACTACTGCTAATACCTCTATAAATATATTCTACTTTTAATGTGACTTCAACTGCTTCTACTACTACTATATAGTACTACTATAGTGTAAGTACTTTTTCACAGCAACAACTACAATTATTATTGCTATTATTATTACTAATATTTATTTACCACTGTATTTCTATTATTCTATATCTACTTCTACAATTGCACATCCTTTTCCCACTACTATACTATATATGTATATATTTTCTTACTCTATTATAATTTCTAGTATTATTACTTAAGCAAATATGCTTTAATAACTCCTTTTGTTTTTGCTGTCTCCCCAAGCAATATGATAATGCACATAAATTTTGGGCATGTTTTAATATATTCTTATACATACATATTTCTTTTCCGTCATTGCATCTGATTTTGTTGCCAGCGGCGTAGAGTCTGAAAAAGAGTTAGGAAAACAAGTTTAACAGAAATGAATGCTTTGCCATGCAAATTAGTTTCAAATTACGATTCATGAGATTTTCGTTTTCGCTCGTGAACTTGACCTTTTCATATTTTTATAGGTCAATTTTGCTATAGAGTGTAGAAAATGAGTTATTTTCATTTAACTGTAATATTATATGTAATAAAAAAGAATATAGTATAAAATTGAAACAAGCTTGATTGCACAGACCTCTTTGGCACTCTGTTGGCGAAAAATTGGTAATAAATATATACGTATTTATTAACAATATTTCATATGCCAACAAACAGAAATATGTTAACTACTTATGTTAACTAACATTATTAACTTAAGAACATATATTTAATTATGTTAATGGTATATGTTAACGTACATTATTATGTTAACAAACTGCTAACATGTCCAACATTATTATGTTAACTCAAAAGTTAACTTACATTACTATATAAATCCACTGTTAACTAACAGTGCACTCAGTCACCGGAAACAATTATTTTTAAGAGAAATTGTCGATGTGCTGCTCATTTCTAAGCGCCTAGTGTTTTTGTCCCATTCCAGTGCACGCTAGTGGCACTGTATGATAGATAACATAGTTGTGTCATTTCAATGTTAACTCACAGTGTACTCAAGGTCACCCAAAATAATTATGTAAAAGAGAAATTGTCGACGTGCTGCTCATTTCTGTTCGCCTGGTTTTTACGTCCAATTCCAGTGTACGCAAGTCGCACTGTTTCATAGATAACATAGTTGTGCCATTTCAAT